GTTCTGACCTGCCCGACGGAGGGATATAGTCCCGGAAACGGTCGGAACCAGTCTAGTAGAAGAATGCGGCTGCGGTGCAGAGGGCGATGGGCGGGTTCTGTGTTGCGCCGAGATGATAGACGTTTCGCCATAGCTTTGCGAGGGTGCTGGCGGAGAGATTGCTTTCTTGGGCGGAGGTGAGGAGGGACGGTGCGACATTTACACTGTAGGCGGCGATGTTGCCTGTGGAGTTGGAATGTGCTATTATTAGCATCTGGCAAATATTTTGGTCCTTACTCTGAGGACATTATGCGTGTGTGTGTGAGAGGGAGGTTCAATATGTTATCTCTCGTACGTAGAGAGATAAACCGAGATATAAGATTCCCCTTAGAAATTATATTGATAAATAGGTAGATAGGTACTATCTCTTAGCATCATCCAAGATGGAATAACTGCGTACCAGAAAGCCAAGCTGCACCGCTCAAGCCTACTGCCTGCGCGACACGGAAAGCGGTTGGACAAGAGGTCGTGTTCGTGGCCATTGTTGGGTTGGTTGAAATCAAAGGGAACTTGGTCTGGCGATTGCTTCTTGTTGACAAGGAAAGGATCTTTGTTGGGTAATATTGCCTTTCCGAGGCTACTTTATTTTGGTCGTTAATCGTCTCTGCCTAAATACCAAGGAAAAGTTGCTGTGACGTCACTTAGTTACAGATGCTGCACCTGCACATCTTTTGCTGCACAACTGCCACATAATTAATATACATGTTTGTATGTATAAATAAATACACCTCAAGCAATATTTCCTAACCGAACTTTCGACTGTGCTCGTTATAAATTCTCACCCCCTGGCTGCAAGTTGGTATCACCGATTAAATCAGAGAAAGCTGAATCTGGAGCAATAGCGGTAGCTCTTAACTTCATTTATTATAATCAATTGAAATGGTTCCTGTTTTGATGTACGGAGTACAGTACAACGGCTACATTGTTTTTGAGAAGAAGTCTTTGAATGAGAATAACTAAACAACTATATCAATTCAACAAATGGATGTAAGTCAATATCCGCAAAGTGGGAAGGATTCTCGCTCCATATAACAGTTTTCGCGCCCCAACCTTCATGAATGTGGCCAAAGCAGTGCATCTGGGGTCGGCTTCTTGCAATGGCTGTGTCTGACAGTCTGGGTGGTCCATGGGTGATGACTACATTGACGCTGTCCTCAAGAGCAAAATCATGCCTGGTGTTGGGATTGTACTGAAACTCCCCCGATCCTGTGCATATGGAGTAAATAGACTGGCATAAACGGTCAGAAATGCGTTTTTTATCAAAGCAAAGCGGTGAATCCCTCCATCTAGCAGCATAATACCCATGGACGCAGCATCCTTAAAGAGTTAGGCTAGTGGCTGTCGCCGCAAACTTGGCCGTCGATATCTGATCGCTCATTTTAAAGGACATAACGCCTCTAATCAATCCGAACGCGTTTGGTCGCAAAGGAGCCTTTCGCCGGAAATCTTTGGCACTCGTTTAGTCATATCATCTTGAAGAATGGGAGAAGTATGGGAGCACGTAGATAACAGAGACCAAGAGAGCACGAGGATAAGGACAAGGACAGCAAAGCCCCACTCTTATTTCAGTCAACTTTCTTCACCAGTACTACAACGCAGATAGCTCAATTTCCGACACCAATATAGCCCATATTCCTGAAATTCCCTTTGTTTCGTCGCAGGGCGGTTGCGATATCTTTAAATGCAGATATCAAGATCATGAGAGGTAGGAATAACCAAGGGGGAGCAACTGCCCCCCCAAATGCCAATTTCGATGAAGGAAGTCTCCCTCCGTGCAACTCGAATTCCGCTATCGATGCGGAACGAATTTCACCATCGTTTTGTGAAGTGCTCAAGTGTATTGCCAAGGATGATAAGAATTAGTGACTCACTACGTACTGAGTATGCGGTGGGCTAAAATGCCCACTATCTGAACAATATGCGAAGCCTTCCCCAATATTTTTTCTGCGATACAGGGAGCCACTGGGGATCGGGAAGTAGCCCGTTCCGCCACAAAATCATCAGATTCTGGACATCCACATTGGGGAGACGACCCCTACCTCTTCCTCCTCCTCCTCCTCCTCTTTACGTTGTGCCGGATGACATCGCCAACGACCCAGGCTACAGCCCATTGACGTTCCCCCATTCCTCTCCTCGGAAATGGGCAATATCGCAAATGTCCCAACCTGCACCGGCTCAAATAGCACCGGTATACGGAGTACCCAGACATGCAACCTGTCCTTGGAGGGAACTCCAAATCTATGTCAGATTCGCTGTGGATTTCAACCGCTCGGGAACAGGGTTCAATTTCGAATTCGTCGAAGATCCCATCGGAGCGGAGGAACTCGTTAACACTCACATCCAAAAGGGGAAGAGATATATTAGAGTCTTGGTACCTGTAAGTTCCAGCAGATAATAATAATAGTAATTGAGGCTGTAGTTAATTGATACATTGGTATGACGAAGCTCGGCAAACATGCCTGCTTGAGATGGAATTGGACACCCCAATCTTCACTGGCAATAATAGATAGATAGTGCTGCGAATGTCGGTTTTAGAGGGCTATTCCATTTAAAGAGTCGTAGTTCAGCTGCGAGCATTGATTGTGGATGAATATATTGGCTCACCACATTGCCTGCTTCTAAAATTAGAAACGAAGGTTACTGTGATATAGTAATAATACCAATTGAATGCTTAAAAAATGTTGTTATCTGGCAGCAGAAATACGATAGTTATTTGAAAGCTGTTAAAAATTAGCCCAAACTAGTAATCTATTAGAACAGAGTACAGAAGCAATAAGCACAGAATCTTAAGATAGATAGACAGACAAATAGATAAGAATAGTTAGCAAAATATATATATATATATATGAACGTTAAATCAAGAAATAAATCACTAGCTTCCATAATAAAACAGCAGCCAAGAAAAGGTGAACTATCTCTTGGGTTGAATTAAGATTTTTTATTTTTATTTTTATTTTTTAGATCATCGCGTTGAGCTCTCCTGGAGGGTTAGTTCTACTCCTGTTATTGTTTTCGCGTTTTTAACACACAACTTTACTCCCGTAAATGCGAATTGGGGATATCATTTCGTTAGAATACATGTAGATAGTTCATTGCAAAATTGGGAATCATGGATTTAAAAAAAAGAAAAAGTCCGTCTTCACTCAAGAATATCACGCTATGGGATTGCCGGCGTCCACCAGGATGTAGCCTGTATTACCGTAAAGAGAAAATATATATAGAAATATGTGTAAAAAGCAACAGAAGCAGAGACACCGCTGATTCCGGATCTACCTTCAGAACAAGAAATATAGAAAAAAAGAATTGTGAAAACCAGGCAGAACCGAAGATTCCTTCCCGAGGGATCTGAACGGATGTTGCGCAGGTTGTGTGTGCCGAGTGTGAGGTTGGATCAAAAGGTCAGCTGAACGTGGGCGGTGTGGTTTGCGAACGTGAAAACCTTCGAGAAAGCGCTGCGGAAGGGGTCGATTGGCGATGATTACCGAGAAGGAAACCGAAATGCAGCAGAGTAACGGTAGCTTTCTTTCGATTTCTTGGCAAGGACGGTGAAGAAAACCAGCCACGCCACGAAGGAGAACCCGGGCCAAGCCAAGAGTCTGAAGCTGAAAAACACACACGAGGAAGTGATTTCGCGGGATCCTTCTGTAATCGAAAATGGATTGAGGTGATGGAAACGACGAAGGGGGCGGGGAAAATAAGTAAAACAAACAAGGGCTGGAAGAGGTTGAGGATAAAAACGAGACGTGAGACATGAGGGGTTGGTTGGTTTCCGAAAATAGCAAGTCGCACTCGCACAGTCCGCGGAATCCCGTGATGTTGTGTTGTCCGGAGATTCGGAATGACAGGACAAGGACGAGTGCGATAAACAATAAAAAAGAGAATACCCCTCCTCATCCGTCCCCGGAGCCTGTGATAGGCGGGGAAAATTTGTTTTCACCGCCCATGGGCAAAGAGGGAAATATCATATGGATAATAGGCGGTGAGGATAATTCTGAATTCAAATAAGATGAGAAACCAGGAGGACGGTCGGGTCGGAAATGGGTCGCGCGGAGAAGGCTAAATGCGAAGGTGAAGGACGACTCTTGCGTGAGGGGTACCTAAGGTATTCAACGGCCATGGTCATCTTTGGGCCCTGGCAAAGTTGTCCGGTGAGTTGGTGCAAGCTCTTTCGTATCTCGCATCTGACAGCATCTACACATTGGCAGGAACACTGATGTCATTTTGCT